GTATTTACATAGGTTTAAGATGACCCTGGTGCTGCTAACAGCAGACAAGCTAACTAAATGTATTTACATAGGTTTAAGATGACCCTGGTGGTGCTAACAGCAGACAAACTAACTAAACGTATTTACAAAGGTTTAAGATGACCCTGGTGCTGCTAACAGCAGACAAGCTAACTAAATGTATTTACATAGGTTTAAGATGACCCTGGTGCTGCTTACAGCAGACAAGCTAACTAAACGTTCGCCATAGTACCAGTGTGGCCAGCTGCTGGAAGAGTTTTAATCCAATATATCAATTTCTAGAAGAAGTAAATATTGCCAGAAAATTGGTTTTAAAAGTATTACCCACATTAAGTGTAGGAGGGCAAAAAACCTGTCTTACATCAACTTGTAATTACATTGATCCCGTCTCCTGAGAATTGTCACCTCAATTTTAGCAGCCGAAACTCACCGACATTTGGTGGAGGGAGAAGGTTACAGCCGTCTAATTCAATCTAGAGCAGTGAAGGGTTGGTTGGTCTATCGTATTATTTTATACCGCTGAGCGCCAGTATATCCTTATTTACGAGGACGGGAATGAATCTAAAAGGAAGTTAGTTCCGACAGAGAGCAAGTCTACAGTGAAGATTTTCTTTGTTGAACACAGCTTACATGCACCTGATTTTGTCTCGATTCCTCATCACACATACAATTACATTAGATTCCTCATCACAAATACGATTACATTAGATTCCTCATCACACATACATTTACATTAGATTCCTCTTCACACATACGATTACATTAGATTCCTCATTACACATACGATTACATTAGATTCCTCATCATACATACGATTACTTTAGATTCCTCAGCACACATACGATTACATTAGATTCCTCATCACACATATGATTACATTTACACAAGACAAAAACCTCTAAATCTGACTAACCTCTACCAGGATGCTAAAACTACATCATAATTTATAGTTTACATCATCTTTATAGATTATAAACTACTTCAAGTGTTTATCTATAATCTTATGTCAGGCAAGGAGGTTATAGTTATCCATGGTGTATGATGATAACACAAAGAGAATTGGAAATCGCATGTTTTGTTATAATAGAAAAAAAACATTATTCATTATGAAATAATAAGGAGATTTACTGTAATCTAGATTGAAATCAAACACTTTTTATAAATACTGCTATAAAGTGATTTTGAGGGTTTTAATCCTGAAAATATTTCAAAGGTCAGTGGGATGTCTGCAGGGTAGAATTTACACCCTGCCAAATGAATACACACACTGGAGAATGGCTTTCTTATAAAAAGGTCTGACTCATGAAACCTTCCTTCTAACCTCAATTGACAGGCATAAATATCCAATATCAACAATACATAATGGCAAAGATTAATAGACAATTTCACAATTATCTGGTAGATCTGGTGATGTATTGGCTATAAAGCCACACCACTACCAACCATTTCATACATTTATCAGGAAACGATGCACCTGACCGGCTCAATAAGATGACCGTATTAGAGATCGTGTTTCACATAATAACACACAATGATCATCAAATTGCGGTGATCCGGTTAGCGGAAAAAGTGCTAAACTGTGTAATTTTCACGTATCAGGTATGTTTAATCTCTGGGGGTAGACAGTATGACGCAAAGAAAAGTTCATGTCACAGCATAAAAAAAAAGAATCAAAAGTCAAAAAAATCGTAAACCACAATAAAACATCTGATACTGGTATAGACCTAATACTGGTACTGGTATAGGCCTGATAATGATATAGGCCTGATACTGGTATAGGCCTGATAATGGTATAGGCCTGATAATGGTATAGGCCTGATACTGGTATAGGCCTGATAATGGTATAGGCCTGATAATGGTATAGGCCTGATTCTGGTATAGGCCTGATACTGGTATAGGCCTGATACTGATACTGGTATAGGCCTGATACTGGTATAGGCCTGATACTGGTATAGGCCTGATACTGATACTGGTATAGACCTGATAATGGTATAGGCCTGATACTGATACTGGTATAGACCTGATAATGGTATAGGCCTGATACTGGTATATATAGGCCTGACACTGATACTGGTATAGGCCTGATACTGATACTGGTATAGGCCTGATAATGGTATAGGCTTGATTATAGGCCTGATACTGGTATAGGCCTGAGTATGGTATAGGACTGATAATGGTATAGGCCTGATTCTGGTATAGGCCTGATACTGGTATAGGCCTGATACTGATACTGGTACAGGCCTGATACTGGTATAGACCTGATAATGGTATAGGCCTGATACTGGTACAGGCCTGATACTGATACTGGTACAGGCCTGATAATGGTATAGGCCTGATACTGGTATAGGCCTGATAATGGTATAGGCCTGATACTGGTATAGGCCTGATAATGGTATAGGCCTGATACTGGTACAGGCCTGATACTGATACTGGTACAGGCCTGATAATGGTATAGGCCTGATACTGGTATAGGCCTGATAATGGTATAGGCCTGATACTGGTATAGGCCTGATAATGGTATAGGCCTGATACTGGTACAGGCCTGATACTGATACTGGTACAGGCCTGATAATGGTATAGGCCTGATACTGGTACAGGCCTGATACTGATACTGGTATAGGCCTGATAATGGTATAGGCCTGATAATGGTATAGACCTGATAATGGTATAGGCCTGATACTTGTACAGGCCTGATAATGGTATAGGCCTGATACTGGTATAGGTCTGATAATGGTATAGACCTGATACTGATAATAGTATAGGCCTGATACTGGTATAGGCCTGATAATGGTATAGACCTGATACTGATAATAGTATAGGCCTGATACTGGTATAGACCTGATACTGATAATAGTATAGGCCTGATACTGGTATAGACCTGATACTGGTTATTATAGACCTGATACTGGTATAGACCTGATACTGGTTATTATAGACCTGATACTGGTTATTATAGACCTGATACTGGTATAGACCTGATACTGGTTATTATAGACCTGATACTGGTATAGGCCTGATACTGGTATATAATTATATAACATAGATAAAGGGCTAGAACTGAGGATATACAGGGGTGACAAGGGGCTAACAGGGGCTAACATGGACCGAGACAGGGGTTTAATATGGGAGGACAATGTGCTTGGAAGGGGGGGGGCTAATTATATAACATAGATAAAGGGCTAGAACTGAGGATATACAGGGGTGACAAGGGGCTAACAGGGGCTAACATGGACCGAGACAGGGGTTTAATATGGGAGGACAATGTGCTGAATCGAGGCCTAAATAGCAGACAGAGGGAAGAGACGATATTTGTTCATCTCTTTCTCTGACAGAGACATCAACAGGAAGAATAGTGTATCTGTCTATCTGACATAACGTCACTTTACATTGGGGATCTATTGACACAGACAGTGAGCTTCATCTCAAGCACATCTTCAATGGTGAGAGTCTCTCGCTACCAAACAGCTGACAGATGCTAAAATCAATTTCATATTTCAAAACACAGAAGGTAATATAGACTGACGTTTCTGACATTTTGGCAGTAAGACCTCAATCGACCAGGCCTTTGTTATTAGAAAGTGGTACGCTGACAGAGGTGAGAGTCGGGGGCTGTCCTGACAGATAATAAAAGGACTTGGTACAGTTCCTAATACAGGATGACAGTGATTGGTGCAGACATCCTACCATAAACATCACCAAGTAACAATACATAACCAAGCATAAATCTTCGTAATCACAAAAAACTTTGTCATTCCGACCGTAATTTGAAGTGACACACAGGCATCAGTTCGCCTGCCCTTCCTGTTGTAAAGAACGGCTGGTTACGTTAAAAATATTGTCAAAAAAATTACGTGATGATAAAAGCAGAATTATTGGACCGGAATTGACAAAGGAACTCTAACGGAGGGCAAGTGTTAGGTCTTGTCAATATTGAATCTGGGCGAAATAAATTGGGGACTTAACAAGATTACGCAGAAATATGGTACCCAGCAGGCCGCACTTTACAACATCTCTTGGTTTAATGTTGACGGTTACTTTCATCGTCAAGATACAAATTGTCACACAGCAAGGCGACCAGCAATTTTATGGCCCTGAGCCGCTGCGCTTCAATTTTCTCTGAAGATTTAAAACCAATACAGGTATTTTGTTTCATTACTGAAACATAAATGGCCACAATTGCAGGCAGGCAGGGATGATTAATGGTAGTGCTGGCTGCTCTCCTGTGATAATTAAAACTACAGGTACAGAGTTAAGGGCCATGGCCCACTCACAGCCCCAGCGTTAGCTGTAGCATGCAGATGTGCCAATAGTTTATTGCCATCATTTGAACTCAAACAATTCTACGTAAAAGTGGAGCGATTCTGCAGACTTTCTGTATTTACAATCTGAAAATGACATTGTCTGGTGTAAGGTGCAAATAGACACATATCAATTCTGTTTAAAAATAAATAAATGTGTAATTTTAATTTTATTTTATAAATCGAACTCCCATGAACCTTGAATTGACATCACATTAATTTCTATTTTTGATAATACTTCATTCAACATAAAATCAAGAAGGCAATGGGAACAGTATCAAAGCTAGCGCTGCAGTAGTTTTGTATCAGCATAAGCAAACAAGCTTAACAGACAATGAATATTGACGAGTCTCGTTACTTTCATTAGTTAATATTTTACAATGTAAAAGAAGCAGATTCAAATATTATGATATTTTTTTTGTTTTAATTCAACACGTAAACAAGCCACAAAATGTAGGAATAAGCATCAACAAGGTTAGTTTTCCAATTAAAGTCCAAATGGTTAGATATGAAATATTGCTGGAAAAAACTGGCAGCGAAATGTTCAATCTCAAACAGTAACTTTTCTGTTCACTTACATTATCATTGAATAATTCATTGAACACATAGAACTGCTGTAATAAAGAAAAAAACAAATTCAGCCAAAAACAAACAATACCTTACCCATATTTTATAAAAACCCTGCCTTACCAACTATCCTTATGAAATCAACAATCTAAGTCAACAACCATATTAAAGAATGATGGTATTATAAGACAACAATTATAGCCAGTTAATATCTGTCTTTATCAATATATTTTATATCCGATGCTTTTTCATTATCATTTTGTAATCAATTAACATGATAATATAGTATCAACATTTTTTCATTTTTTCCGAAATATCTAAACATATTCCTATAATTTAGTTTTTTTCTGTGAACTTTACCTGACAGAAATGGATAACATAAACAAGTCTGTAGACCTAGGCCTGAGATCGTTTCATGATTTTGTGTCTAATCTAGTAACAGGAATTCTTCATGTAATAATTGATAAACTTTTTTTATATCTTATTAATTAAATACAGTACAAGTTCATTCATCGTTCCTTTTCTTCCTTACACAAACCATTGTTATTGGTGACATATATGCTACAATTGTTTCCCCTGCTAATTTAACAAATTGATCTACGGCAGTCTCTAACCTCATCAATACCCTGTATTCCTTGACCTATGACCTGGATCCCACGGGTTCCCCCTTGTCTCCCAGTTAATTGGAATTCCTTGTCCCATGAAAGTCCCATCTAGAATCCCTTTATACCATCAACTTTCAAAATGTCTTAATGTTTAAGTATATTTGTCAATAACTTTCGAAAGTGACAAAGATATTGTGATATAGCCATTGATAATGACAAATCAGCATGAAATCACAAAGAACATTATAGACATATTTTTTCCTGATATACAGTCAAAGTAAGCTTCCATAAATCAAACTTCTCAATGTGTCAAACTTACAGCGAAGTCCGGAATTTTACATTATATGACACTTGTCTATTAATATTCTTTTCATGAATTGAACTTTTTTGAGCAGATTATTCACCTGTACTAAAACAATAAAATATCCCTTGGTTATTCTAACAGAACAGGCTTCGGAAATTTAAATGACAAAGAAATGTTAAATTCAAGAAGAAATCAATATTTCTATTTAAAACCGACTTGTTTTAAATATAAATATTGATTTCTTATCTCAAGTGATACAAATCTCCTCGCATGCACACATTGTGACATATGTAAGAGGAAATGAAGTCGCTAGAGCAATGACAATGTTTTTTCTAAAAATAGTATCAGTGACCTTGACCTTCAACGTAGAAACCTGAAAACGCGAATTTGTTTAAGATATTGTCATACTGAACACTGGTATCAAGTTTCATGAAATTCAGATCAGGAATGAAGTCAGTAGAGCGATGACAAAGTTTTCTAAAAAATAGTAAAAGTGACCTTGACCTTTAACACAGTAACCCAAAATGTGAAATTGTTCAAGGTATTGTCATACCAAAAAACTTGTATCAAGTTTCATGAAATTCCATTGTGGAATAAAGTCGCTAGAGCAATGACAAAGAGTTTCATATTTAAACATTCATCTTCTGTCTTATTTACAGGATCTGGATGGTCAATATGCATGAGTGGAAGTCCCGGAATTTTATTTTTTTCCAGATAATACTGCAAAGTTCGCAACATAGAAGTTTGAGTGTAGTTTTCAAGGCCAGCTGTTGTTTACAGGTACAAGTTTGTGTACAGTTGTTGTGAATAGATATAGGTTTGTGTACAGTTGTTGTGAACAGATATAGGTTTGTGAACAGTTGTTGTAAACAGATATAGGTTTGTGAACAGTTGTTGTGAACAGATATAGGTTTGTGAACAGTTGTTGTGAACAGGTATAGGTTTTTGAACAGGTATAGGTTTGTGAACAGGTATAGGTTTGTGTACAGTTGTTGTGAACAGATATAGGTTTGTGAACAGTTGTTGTGAATAGATAAAGGTTTGTGTACAGTGTAAAGAACGGCTGGTAGGTTTGTGAACAGTTGTTGTGAACAGGTATAGGTTTTTGAACAGGTATAGGTTTGTGAACAGTTGTTGTGAATAGATAAAGGTTTGTGAACAGTTGTTGTGAACAGATATACGTTTGTGTACAGTTGTTGTGAACAGATATAGGTTTGTGTACAGTTGTTGTGAACAGTTATAGGTTTGTGAACAGGTATAGGTTTGTGAACAGTTGTTGTGAATAGATAAAGGTTTGTGAACAGTTGTTGTGAACAGATATAGGTTTGTGAACAGTTGTTGTGAACAGATATAGGTTTGTGTACAGTTGTTGTGAACAGGTATAGGTTTGTGAACAGGTATAGGTTTGTGAACAGTTGTTGTAAATAGAAAAAGGTTTGTGAACAGTTGTTGTGAACAGATATAGGTTTGTGTACAGTTGTTGTGAACAGGTATAGGTTTGTGAACAGTTGTTGTGAACAGATATAGGTTTGTGAACAGTTGTTGTGAACAGATATAGGTTTTGTGAACAGTTGTTGTGAACAGGTATAGGTTTTTGAACAGGTATAGGTTTGTGAACAGTTGTTGTGAACAGATATAGGTTTGTGTACAGTTGTTGTGAACAGATATAGGTTTGTGAACAGTTGTTGAGAACAGATATAGGTTTGTGTACAGTTGTTGTGAACAGGTATAGGTTTGTGAACAGTTGTTGTGAACAGATATAGGTTTGTGAACAGTTGAAGTGAACAGGTATAGGTTTGTGTACAGTTGTGAACAGATATAGGTTTGTGAACAGTTGTTGTGAACAGATATAGTTTTGTGTACAGTTGTGAACAGATATAGGATTGTTCAGATTTTTTATGGACAGGTATAGGTTTGTTCACAGATTTTGTGGACAGGTATAGGTTTGTTCACAGATTTTGTGGACAGGTATAGGTTTGTTCACAGATTTTATGGACAGGTATAGGTTTGTTCACAGATTTTGTGGATAGGTATAGGTTTGTTCACAGATTTTGTGGACAGGTATAGGTTTGTTCACAGATTTTGTGGACAGGTATAGGTTTGTCCACAGATTTTGTGGACAGGTATAGGTTTGTTCACAGATTTTGTGGACAGGTATAGGTTTGTTCACAGATTTTGTGGACAGGTATAGGTTTGTCCAGATTTTGTGGACAGGTATAGGTTTGTCCAGATTTTGTGGACAAGTATAGGTTTGTCCAGATTTTATCGACAGACATAAGTTGTAAACAAGTTGTACTCACCCGTCTCACCATCAGAGTATTGTCATCATCCTCATCTCTCTCCCTTTTCACCTCTGTCTGCCGGCCTCCATGTCTGTTTCCTACTATTGGGTCAGGAACATCTATTAACAGTTTCATACAATATTATTGATTGCAGCGTGTAAATAGTTTATCCGTAAGGTCATAAGCATTTTATTTTCAACCTATTCAACTACAATATTGTAAAATGCATGGCAACATGTAATTAAACTATTCTCATACCTGTGATCATTTACCATGCTACTGGTAGGTGGTATAAAGAAGTATGGAGATGATAATGATAACTATATTCTCGTGTTTTTTTTTTTAATAGGTCAGAACATGGCAAAGGGTGACAAGATAGACAACTCTGTCAACCAACACATTTTTTTTCTCTGTGTAAAGTGACAATGACGTGCTTTGTTACTTCCCGAACAAAATACCTACCATCATGTATCACCATTGACTGTAACGTTTCTAGGGTGTCCTGGTTAAATACCTACCATCATGTATACCATTGACTGTAACGTTTCTAGCGTGTCCTGGTTAAATACCTACCATCATGTATCACCATTGACTGTAACGTTTCTAGGGTGTCCTTGTTAAAATACCTACCATCATGTATCACCATTGACTGTAACATTTCTAGGGTGTCCTGGTTAAATACCTACCATCATGTATCACCATTGACTGTAACATTTCTAGGGTGTCCTGGTTAAATACCTACCATCATGAATCACCATTGACTGTAATGTTTCTAGGGTGTCCTGGTTAAATACCTTCCATCATGTATCACCATTGACTGTAACGTTTCTAGGGTGTCCTGGTTAAATCCACCGGTAGGCCTGAAGTAAAACAACAAAAGGAGAGATTCTGAGATCAGTGACAGGTGTATTTAAGGTACAACATTTCTCAATGGTAAATAATAATTTAACTGTGATTTATATTATCTCAGTCACTGGTATTACAGCTGATTCCACTTCACATAACTATTTAGATATTTTCCTAAAAAAGCATTTTTCTCTGCATATATCAGGTGAGCAATAATTAAGGTTAAATGGTCTCTTGATAAAGGTGATCTCCTTCTAGAGTTTGTCTTTGAACAGGTATTTGGGTAAAATAGTCTCCTGATATAGGTTATCTCTACTTAGGAACTGTCTTTGAACAGGGATTTGGGGAAAATAGTCTCCTGATATAGGTTATCTCTACCCAGGAACTGTCTTTGAACAGGTATTTGGGTAAAATAGTCCCCTGATATAGGTTATCTCTACCTAGGAACCGTCTTTGAGCAGGTATTTGGGTAAAATAGTCTCCTGATATAGGATATCTCTACTTAGGAACTGTCTTTGAACAGGGATTTGGGGAAAATAGTCTCCTGATATAGGTTATCTCTACTTAGGAACTGTCTTTGAACAGGCATTTGGGTAAAATAGTCTCCTGATATAGGTTGTCTCTACCTAGGAACCGTCTTTGAACAGGTATCTGGGTAAAATAGTCTCCTGATATAGGTTATCTCTACTTAGGAACGGTCTTTGAACAGGTATTTGGGTAAAATAGTCTCCTGATATAGGTTGTCTCTACCTAGGAACCGTCTTTGAACAGGTATCTGGGTAAAATAGTCTCCTGATATAGGTTATCTCTACCTAGGACCCGTCTTTGAACAGGTATTTGGGTAAAATAGGCTCCTGATATAGGTTATCTCTACCTAGGAACCGTCTTTGATCAGGTATTTGGGTAAAATAGTCTCCTGATATAGGTTGTCTCTACCTAGGAACCGTCTTTGAACAGGTATCTGGGTAAAATAGTCTCCTGATATAGGTTATCTCTACCTAGAAACCGTCTTTGAACAGGTATTTGGGTAAAATAGTCCCCTGATATAGGTTATCTCTACCTAGGAACCGGCTTTGAACAGGTATTTGGGTAAAATAGTCTCCCGATATAGGTTATCTCTACTTAGGAACTGTCTTTGAACAGGCATTTGGGTAAAATAGTCTCCTGATATAGGTTATCTCTACCCAGGAACTGTCTTTGAACAGGTATTTGGGTAAAATAGTCTCCTGAGATAGGTTATCTCTACTTAGGAACTGTCTTTGAACAGGTATTTGGGTAAAACAGTCTCCTGATATAGGTTATCTCTACCTAGGACCCGTCTTTGAACAGGTATTTGGGTAAAATAGGCTCCTGATATAGGTTATCTCTACCTAGGAACAGTCTTTGAACAGGTATTTGGGTAAAATAGTCCCCTGATATAGGTTATCTCTACCTAGGAACCGTCTTTGAACAGGTATGACTGTATACATGCACTGAATAGTATCAGACTTATCATTATATGTGTTAAAATACTGGAGACCATCCTCCGTTTCTGAGATTCCTCTCTCTATCACAACTTTCCATCCAAGGGTAGAAGGTTAAACGCTGTGTAGTGTACTTACATGGGTCTTGCTGGCTCTGAGGCAAGTAACGTGCCGTCTCTATTGACAGTGTTATCTTCCTCCTCTTCCTCTTCATCGTCTTCATCGTCTACCACGATAACCTTCTGGGCACGCCTCTCCTCTGCGCCCCCTAACTCGTTCAGCTGGGCTGCCAGAGCATCAAGATCCTATAAAAACAACCCAGTAATGATTGACTATAGACAGTTTGGAACTAGAGTGTAGCTTTTAATTGGACTTAAATATATTGCAATAAATACATAAAAACTTGTGAATGCTTTGTTGAGAAACTGGCTGTTGGATGGTACAGCAAGGTTAAGCACAGCGAATACTGTATGGAAAGTTCACAAACGTATAGAGGTGAGCTATACCCCTAAGTATGGAGCAGTTCAAGGAAATGTTTACAAACGTTGGGAAGCTTTATTGTCTGAGGACCTGTTTCTGTGCTACGCTTGTGTCCTGACGTTTGTGGCAATTCTAAGTTGTTGTTTTTTGAGTAGTAAAAATAAACATTTAGTTTAAGACTGCAAGGACTATAAAGAAACAGAACAAGGCACTGAGAACAAGCTGTATACAATCTGGTTTGTCTAGCTTTCTACAGGCAATATCAATAGAATGGGTCCTTATACCAGCTTTGATTTGCTATATATTTCTGTCTTTATTGTATTCAGTATATCTAAAGAAAAACGGTTTCTGTCATTCAAAAATGAAGCCAATACAAATGTTGTAATAATTTTGTGAACATTTTCCCCCTCAACACATTTCTGTATTTTTGGACCACAATTATACCACAGTATAAAGACTGCTCTAAGACTAATATAATGCTCTTAATATTGTATAAAGATTAACAAGAGGCCCATGGGCCTTAACGGTCACCTGAGTCTACAGTTGTTTTTTTTGTTGAAATATGTACCAATTTGAGTAAAAAATAGTATAATGTTAACTTAACTTTGTCAGGACCATGAGCTGATCATTCCTAGACCAATTTTAAGTGAGATCGGCCTATTAGAATTTAGTAGCAAAATAGCGGCCATGGCAGCCAAATTGTATTTCTGATTGACCCGAAAAATAACAACACTTTGTCAGGACCATGAGCTGATCATTCCTACAAAGTTTCAGTTCAATCGGCCTAGCAGAACTTGACTTTAAGTTTGAAATAGTTTTTCAAAATGGCGGCCGTGGCGGCCATATTGGATTTCTGAACGACCCGAAAAATAACAACACTTTGTCAGGACCATGAGTCTATCATTCCTACAAACTTTAAGTTCAATCGGTCCAGCAGAACTTGACTTTAAGTTTGAAATAGGTTTTCAAAATGGCGGCCGTGGCGGCCATATTGGATTTCTGATCGACCCGAAAAATAACAACACTTTGTCAGGACCATGAGGCGATCATTCCTACCAACTTTCAGTTCAATCGGTCCAGCAGAACTTGACTTTAAGTTTGAAATAGGTTTTCAAAATGGCGGCCGTGGCGGCCATATTGGATTTCTGATCGACCCGAAAAATAACAACACTTTGTCAGGACCATGAGGCGATCATTCCTACCAACTTTCAGTTCAATCGGTCCAGCAGAACTTGACTTTAAGTTTGAAATAGGTTTTCAAAATGGCGGCCGTGGCGGCCATATTGGATTTCTGATCGACCCGAAAAATAACAACACTTTGTCAGGACCATGAGGCGATCATTCCTACCAACTTTCAGTTCAATCGGTCCAGCAGAACTTGACTTTAAGTTTGAAATAGGTTTTCAAAATGGCGGCCGTGGCGGCCATATTGGATTTCTGATCGACCCGAAAAATAACAACACTTTGTCAGGACCATGAGGCGATCATTCCTACCAACTTTCAGTTCAATCGGTCCAGCAGAACTTGACTTTAAGTTTGAAATAGGTTTTCAAAATGGCGGCCGTGGCGGCCATATTGGATTTCTGATCGACCCGAAAAATAACAACACTTTGTCAGGACCATGAGGCGATCATTCCTACCAACTTTCAGTTCAATCGGTCCAGCAGAACTTGACTTTAAGTTTGAAATAGGTTTTCAAAATGGCGGCCGTGGCGGCCATATTGGATTTCTGATCGACCCGAAAAATAACAACACTTTGTCAGGACCATGAGGCGATCATTCCTACCAACTTTCAGTTCAATCGGCCCAGCAGAACTTGACTTTAAGTTTGAAATGTAAAATGTTAACGGACAACGGACGACGGACGACGACGGACGAAAACGGATAGCAATAGGTCACTTGAGCTAAAGCTCAGGTGACCTAAAAAGGTAAGGACAAGCTGTCATTTTAAAGAAAGCGACCACGAACTGCCTGACTATAGCCAGGTAAACTTAAATTAGTGTCCGAACATTGTCAAGCCCGTTGCTGTTTAAGTTTAAATTATCCTTGAGCAATTGCACTCTGGAGAATTCAATACATGTATTTTCAACATTTAAATCGGCACATCTGAAAAAGTTTGAAAAGCTCTAAATAATATTACATATCCTACTATTACGTAGGTTAACATTAGTAAACACAGAAGCACTGAAGCTTTACCTCGTTACCCGTTATATCATGTAGAGGACCTTATTGTACAAAATCAAGGCGCTAAGTCAAACGTCTGGAATAGTGACTTAAAATGACAAATAGCCAATAGTCATTTTACTCCTTTTAACAGCATTTACGACACTTCTACATTCTACAGCCTAGTAGCTCCACTGAGGTACATTAAATCTCAATAACAAAGTTTGTAATAAAATTAATATCAACAGTCTCTCTTGATCCAAGCTTTCGAGCTTAGCCCTTCATCTGTTCCAGTTTTCAAACATGAAGATGACATAAGGGGGAGGACCATTCGATGCCCGAAAGCTTGGATCTAGGGTGTCTGTGATATATCAGGGGTGTAAAAACTATTTTCAAAGTGCTTGCCTTGGACAATTGACAGTAGAAATCCACTTGCCCGAATATAATTTCTACTTGCCTCATAAAATGCATATTATACAAACATTTTTTGTTCTAAATAATTTAACTTTTTCATGAAATATTCCCATGCTTAAACTGGTTGTCCCAGGGGTCAGCGAAGATTTGTACATCCCCTGATTTATTGAGGTACATTATTTCCTGATGTTGCGGCGCTTCAGTCCTCTAGCTCTAGACTAAAGCCTGAATATATCCTGATTCCGTGACAAAATGTCTGCTGTCAAGACCCGCCGTACTTACCAAACACTGTTGCCATGTCACCTGTTTCCGCCAGATTAACAAATTTGTTAGCACGCAAAAAACAGAAAGGTATTTTAGACAGATATAGTAGCTTTTAGTAGAGTGGGAATACGTTCTCTTTTTCTACAGATTGCGGGCACAAGATTTTACCATGTAACTGCAGATTACTAACACTCTTGTAATACCCGATTTTCACGTAATTTTTTAGTAAGCATAATCCCGAATGCATTTATCATGTGATCAACGGAGTGAAATGGAAAAATGAACATACAGTAAAGTTCACAAAATATAAAGCGGGCATGAAATTAATAGCAGGAATCTTAACATTATTGGGAGAACATACATGATCAGCGCAGGAAACAACTCACATTAAGGTACGTTTAAAATCTACTTATGTATCCCACTTACACCTGCAGTAATACACACATTTAATTTTTTCACTAAAATTACCAAACCCTTAATACCTACATTTGGTGAAAGTGTAATTGATAATGAGGCATCTTTATACAGTCCATACAGGCAGATACTTGATATTTACCTCGGGTTTCTGAACAGGACCTCTGAAACCTCCTTGATTCCTTGAGTCGCCAGGAATATGGGGATGTTTTGAACTGGATCTGTTATCTTGGACTACTGAAACAAGACAAGAAGTTTTGGAGATGGACACACAAAAACGTCATTATCATAAATAGAAGTCCACAAACTACTGTTAATGACCTCATTTTCAAAGCACTTCATTTTCGTGATCATCGTTTTAATTTTCACTTTTTCTTGGATACAAATTTGCAAATGTTTCTGTTAGAAGTGAAAACAGTCACACACTTAAGTTCAGGTGTCCTGAATACATAGAATCAACATTAACACATCAAGGTCCGACTGAAGTCCTCATTCTGGTCTCCAGGTTAAGACAACGTTAACTCACTTTATATATATAGTACTTGTACACAATACCTCCATGATCGTCAATCTCATTTTCCTTACAATAATGGACTTCTCTTTGCAATTTCGGAAGGAGACTTCCTTTTTTCCATTTTTTTTTAAATTCTTAAATCAACAAAACTACCTACATCTTTGTTTTGTTCAAATTTAGTTTATTCCACTGAACAGCCAAAACTTTGGTATTTTAAACCATAAATTTGTCAGTTAGGGGTAATTGTAAGTTGTATAAAGACAACGCCTGATCGCAACACTATTTCTCCCACATGAAAAATTTAAAGGTTGGCAAGTATTAAGTTATGCAATTATTTTCACTTTACTATAATAATCTTGACTTGTGAGTTACAGTGAGTTTATATTTATAAATTGTAAGAGAGTACCACAATTTACACTCCTGAGTTACAGTGAGTTTATATTTATAAATTGTAAGAGAGTATCACAATTTACACTCCTGATTTACAGTGAGTTTATATTTATAAATTGTAAGAGAGTACCACAATTTACACTCCTGATTTACAGTGAGTTTATATTTAAAAGTTGTAAGAGAGTACCACAATTTACCCTCCTGAGTTACAGTGAATTTATATTTATAAGTTGTAAGAGAGTACCACAATTTACGCTCCTGAGTTACAGTGAGTTTATATTTATAAATTGTAAGAGAGTACCACAATTTAAACTCCTGAGTTACAGTGCGATTATATTTATAAGTTGTAAGAGAGCACCACAATTTACACTCCTGATTTACAGTGAGTTTATATTTAAAAGTTGTAAGAGAGTACCAGAATTTACACTCCTGAGTTACAGTGAGTTTATATTTATAAATTGTAAGAGAGTACCACAATTTACACTCCTGAGTTACAGTGAACAGCACTCCCAATATAATAACCTCTAAAATGTTGTCAGTTATAATCACGAAAATAAACTCATGAAAATGGGGATGACTAACAGTAGGAGGGAGGAATATTGCTGTCAACTTGTACATGACAGGTCAAATCTGCCTAGTAACATCCTGAACATCTAGAGATAATTAAATCACTTACTTAGCTAATTAGACAAACTTAGTCAATGAGGGTTATTACAATATTGAAACACTTGTTAGCACATCAGCACAAACCAAATCAGCACCAGCCGGGGGACCAGTGAGCACATCAGCACAAACCAAATCAGCCATGTTACTCAGCACCAGCCGGGGACCAGTGAGCACATCTCTGTGTGGTCAGTCAATGTTTATTATAGGAGTTTGAGAAACACAGGTTTTCTCCCGTCAAACATTAGAATAAACAAGTAACCAATGAAGGTTTTTTCCAGTTAAAACAACTTTAGGCAGAAATCCATCTGACTGCTACAAACAACTTTAGGCAGAAATCCATCTGACTGCTACAAACAACTTTAGGCAGAAATCCATCTGACTGCTACAAACAACTTTAGGCAGAAATCCATCTGACTGCTTCAAACAACTTTAGGCAGAAATCCATCTGACTGCTACAAACAACTATTCATGAGAGCATTCATTACCATTTAAATCAACTTTGGGGGAAAAATTGCTTACCACATTAAATTCTCAATATTTTTTTATGAAATGGTAAAAATAATCCTTTTCATTGTTATAAACTACATAACAATGACAGTAGTATTGATTCAATCTGTTTCATTGTACCTGTTACTAATTAGATATATCAATAAATGTCTGAAATCTAAATCTGAAGCTCATAAAACCTGTAACAATTATATATTACATACAAAATATCTGAATATCTTTTAAATTTTGTCTTGGAATATGAACATTATGTGTTTTATTTTTTTCTACAGAATTATAATTATAAAGTATTAAAGATATATGTTACATGTATGAGACTGATCTAGTTCATAACTAGGTTAGCATGCAGGCGTTCACAGCATTCTGGAAAGGGAGGCATTCACATGTTACGAGTATATTTGAGATTACACAGGCATGATACAAATATATTCATATGCTTTAAGGAAGAATACAAATGTATAACATGCAAAACCTTCAACCAACATAGAAGCACTGGTACATCTGCTCCGTATCAACAGCCTAGTCGTAACATATAACCCTAACCCTATCCCTAGCCCAACCAACATAGAAGCACTGGTACATCTGCTCCGTACCAACAGCCTAGTCGTAACATATAACCCTAACCCTATCCCTAGCCCAACCAACATAGAAGCACTGGTACATCTGCTCCGTACCAACAGCCTAGTCATAACATATAACCCTAACCCTATCCCTAGCCCAACCAACATAGAAGCACTGGTACATCTGCTCCGTACCAACAGCCTAGTCATAACATATAACCCTAACCCTATCCCTAGCCCAACCAACATAGAAGCACTGGTACATCTGCTCCGTACCAACAGCCTAGTCATAACATATAACCCTAACCCTATCCCTAGCCCAACCAACATAGAAGCACTGGTACATCTGCTCCGTACCAACAGCCTAGTCATAACATATAACCCTAACCCTATCCCTAGCCCAACCAACATAGAAGCACCCTAGTCGTAACATATAACCCTAACCCAACCAACATAGAAGCACTGGTACATCTGCTCCGTATCAACAGCCTAGTCGTAACATATAACCCTAACCCTAACCCAACCAACATAGAAGCAGCCTAGTCGTAACATATAACCCTAACCCTAACCCAACCAACATAGAAGCACTGGTACATCTGCTCCGTACCAACAGCCTAGTCGTAACAAATAACCCTAACCCTATCCCTAGCCCAACCAACATAGAAGCACTGGTACATCTGCTCCGTACCAAAAGCCTAGTCATAACATATAATCTTAACCCTTACCAAACCAACATAGAAGCAGCCTAGTCGTAACATATAACCCTAACCCAACCAACATAGAAGCAGCCTAGTCGTAACATATAACCCTAACCCTAACCCTAACCCAACCAACATAGAAGCAGCCTAGTCGTAACAAATAACCCTAACCCTAACCCAACCAACATAGAAGCAGCCTAGTCGTAACATATAACCCTAACCCAACCAACATAGAAGCAGCCTAGTCGTAACATATAACCCTAACCCTAACCCAACCAACATAGAACCAGCCTAGTCGTAACATATAACCCTAACCCTATCCCTAGCCCAACCAACATAGAAGCACTTGTACAGCTGCTCCGTATCAACAGCCTAGTCGTAACATATAATCCTAACCCTTACCAAACCAACATAGAAGCAGCCTAGTCGTAACATATAACCCTAACCCTAACCCTAACCCAACCAACATAGAAGCACTGGTACATCTGATCCGTACCAACAGCCTAGTCGTAACATATAACCCTATCTAAAGTACGAAAATAAAATCGGCACCAGCTAACGGGCCCACTATTGATATATACTGTAAATAATTATAAACCAAACTATTTCATCAAAATGTAACTATTACTACAATGCAATGCAAAACTAACTATAACAAGAAATATCTATAAATATATATACAAAAAAATAGAATTTTAATAATAAACTAAAGGCAAAAATGCACTAAAAACTAATATTGGCAAATAAGTCATTTTCTTTTCAATAAGTAACACGATCCCAATGGGCCATACCAGACATACATTCTGTCTGTTACAGTAGCTATCCTCTTTAGCGGAGTTCTCGGCCTAAAGCCACCAGGCACTACCCCATCACAGATAAAAAACAAAGTCTACACCCATTATAAGCACCATTCCATATAGAAAGTCTACACCCATTATAAGCACCATTCCATATAGAAAGTCTACACCCATTATAAGCACCATTCCATATAACAAAGTCTACAACCAAAACAAGCACTGCTCCAGTTTTGACTAAAAATGCACCATGCATCAAATCCAGATAGAGTAGTTTCCCTTTAAAGCTCCCATCAAATGTTTGCTGCACGTGGTTACACTTTTTCTGCTTTATGGAAATATGTACAAAACATTTCTCAATTTCTTAAATAAAGATATCAGTGGAACTCAAGTCATCCTGACCATTTTAGATGACATAAATTTCATCATACGCAGATTGTTTTTTTAATCTGCATTAAAAAACTGGTGGGGCCCAATAGGGGAAATGAACTCATGTTTTAAAAATTTGTTCCAACAATGTCACATTAAAAAGTCCAATGTTTACTATTTTGTATTCTTATCTACATCAAATATGATCAGGACAAGATCTCACTGTTATATATTTTGTCAGCAACAAATTTCTTGCATTTCATCAAATCCATTTCCGAAAAAAACCCACCATTTTCAGTAAACAACAGCTTACAATATTGATGGGAGCTCATTTAAAAGTTAAACTTAAACAAACCAATACACCAACTGCATATACTGATAAGCTTTATCTGTGAAAGGTAACTGGGGTCAAACCGGGGAGGGGTTCATCTAATGTGTGCAAACAATCACCTTCGTTATCATCATCATCATTTTCATCATCATCCTCATCCTCCTCTTCTAGAAGAAAGGAAGGTCAAAAAGAGAGAATGAGGTCAAAGGTTAATGGAGCCAATATAAAAATTTGGAAGCATTTGTGTCGTTATAAAACACCAGGGTTATTTATAGCATACCCATACAATCACACAATCATTGTAGAACACTCCTGGCCATGGTGGTCATACAGATACGGCAAAGGATGCAATTTGTCAAGAGGTAGCTTTAGATTATAATTATTATATACAAAGCCAAGCTCACATATTGTCAGGTCCTTGTTGAGACTCATGCCCCACAGAATAAACTGTACTGGTAACATATTATAGACTTGGATTAAAATTCCAGGTGACATGCAGGAATGCATTCATGGCCCGCCCTTTTGTCAGATCTGTGAGCAGCTGTAATCATTTCATCGCCAAACATCTCAAACTTTATCTACTCTTTTCCTGAAGAAAAGACTTTACAGAAACTAGTTGTTCTGTGCAATGTGTTTGTGCCAAAATCCTAAACATGTTATTTCTATCATAAAGCATTTCTGTCCAACATTTGAGTGTTAAATATCACACATCACATTCTATAAGGAATCAAAATTTTCACGAAATTCATTGATCTGTTGCATCTTAGAGAAAAGGAAATGAGTTAAGAAATTAGTATCCCGAGTGTGATAAAAACAGCATGCTTGTAATATGAAATATTTCACACCATGCCACAAAAGGGATATGCCTTATCACTAAGAATTAAAGTATAATTCGTCAAAACATTAACATACACTGACAAAGTAATAGGACTGAAATCAGCAATCTTTACAATCTCTTAGCCAAATACTACTGTTTTTTTCCATCAATAAAAAATAAAACTAGATATTTTATACGATATGAATTCCCACGCTTCTAAGCCAAGTAGAACACTGAAAGGTTAGCAGAGGTCCCACCATGTGCCTGATGAACCCTCCATTGTCTGTTTTAAGGAACAGTGGCCTTGACCTTAAAAAACATTTTAAACCCCTATTGCACATTTACATATCACAGTGTATCACCATGTCAAATTCAAAATGATGCATTTTTTTAATTCTGAGGAATCTCCAAAAAGGAATGAGCAAACAGACAGACTCTGTGACTACAATAGGGCACCCACATCAGCAATTCAGGGCCCTAATTAGTATCATTGTTTTGGCAAATTATTATAAATAGTAACAGTGACCTTGGCCTTGACTTAGAACAAGGAAATACAAACTTATTTCAGGTACTCTTGTACTTGACCTGTTCATAATGTTTGCTCAAAATCTGTCAGGAAATTCAGTCCTGTAGATGACTATGAGCCTAGAAAAGATTTGATAGATGTGGGTAACACTATACCCCCACCCTCTAAAATAAAATGGTGGGGACATAAAAAAGGAAAGTTTTCCAAACTAAGCACAAAGAAAATGATCACGCCAAAAAAATTTGAACCACTGTCTAGTAGATTTCCTATAACAGAAATGAAACACTGTTTGGGGACTTGTTTGGGCAATGCCTTACCTATATACTGGGACTGTTTGGGCAATGCCTTACCTATATACTGGGACTGTTTTGGCAATGCCTTACCTATATACTGGGACTGTTTGGGGACTTGTTTGGGCAATGTCTTACCTATATACTGGGACTGTTTGGGGACTTGTTTGGGCATTTGCTGTACAACAGGGACTGGCTGGGCCTGGAAGTGACTGGACACGGGCCATGCCTGATGTGAGGATGGAGGACGATGCTGTCCCCCGTGGGGCGCACCACGATTCTGTTGCTGGGGATGGCCGTGGTGACCTTGATTAGGATGACCTTGATGATGTTGACCATGACGATGATCCTTGTGCTGCTTTGCTTGTTGTTGAGGTGCGGGTCGTGCATTGGGCTGGCGGCCTTCTCGCTGTTGGATGAGCTGGAAGTTCCGTTTTAGTGTTGACTCTCCAGGTATCTGTAGTATAGAACTGCAAAACAAAATAACATGTTGCTGTTAGGACAATATTCTCCAGAGCTTAAATTTACAGTTTACAATATGACAACATGTAGCTTTTAGGATAACATTCTTTAGAACTTTAACTGACAGTGTAAGATCATTCGGTCAGAATGGTCACTCAAAATGTTTACTCCTGACACATCAGGTCAGTCTATTCTAGAGCTATCTCTATTAGACACAAACTTACATTGCCCCATCATGGCCAGTCAGTAAATTCAAGAGCTATCTCTATTAGACATCTCCTAGAGCTTTACATGGGGTACAGACTAACCTTGGTTCCCCCGGCATGGCGTTTTCCTCCTCTTCCTCATTGTCACTGCCCTCGTATTCATATTCTGTATCATGATCGTCGACTACAAAAACACAATGTTTTAAGGAATTATATGCACAGTTCACTAACAAGATAAACAATTGTAAATTCCAGGGGGGACATTATAAATCCTCAAGTTAAAAAACATAAATACAACTAGAACACTATCAGGTCAGTAAAGGGCCACGTCTTGTGGCAATATATCCCCCATAATCATCCAAGACAAACTGGAACACTGACAGGTCAGTAAAGGGACACGTCTTGTGGCAATATATCCCCCATAATCATCAAGACAAACTTGAACACTGACAGGTCAGTAAAGGGCCCCGTCTTGTGGCAATATATCCCTCATAATCATCAAGACAAACTTGAACACTGACAGGTTAGTAAAGAGTCCCGTCTTGTGGCAATATATCCCCCATAATCATCAAGACAAACTTGAACACTGACAGGTCAGTAAAGGGCCCCGTCTTGTGGCAATATATCCCCCATAATCATCAAGACAAACTTGAACACTGACAGGTCAGTAAAGGGCCCCGTCTTGTGGCAATATATCCCCCATAATCATCAAGACAAACTTGAACACTGACAGGTCAGTAAAGGGCCCCGTCTTGTGGCAATATATCCCCCATAATCATCAAGACAAACTTGAACACTGACAGGTCAGTAAAGGGCCCCGTCTTGTGGCAATATATCCCCCATAATCATCAAGACAAACTTGAACACTGACAGGTCAGTAAAGGGCCCCGTCTTGTGGCAATATATCCCCCATAATCATCAAGACAAACTTGAACACTGACAGGTCAGTAAAGGGCCCCGTCTTGTGGCAATATATCCCCCATAATCATCAAGACAAACTTGAACACTGACAGGTCAGTAAAGGGCCCCGTCTTGTGGCAATATATCCCCCATAATCATCAAGACAAACTTGAACACTGACAGGTCAGTAAAGGGCCCCGTCTTGTGGCAATATATCCCCCATAATCATCAAGACAAACTTGAACACTGACAGGTCAGTAAAGGGCCCCGTCTTGTGGCAATATATCCCCCATAATCATCAAGACAAACTTGAACACTGACAGGTCAGTAAAGGGCCCCGTCTTGTGGCAATATATCCCCCATAATCATCAAGACAAACTTGAACACTGACAGGTCAGTAAAGGGCCCCGTCTTGTGGCAATATATCCCCCATAATCATCAAGACAAACTTGAACACTGACAGGTCAGTAAAGGGCCCCGTCTTGTGGCAATATATCCCCCATAATCATCAAGACAAACTTGAACACTGACAGGTCAGTAAAGGGCCCCGTCTTGTGGCAATATATCCCCCATAATCATCAAGACAAACTTGAACACTGACAGGTCAGTAAAGGGCCCCGTCTTGTGGCAATATATCCCCCATAATCATCAAGACAAACTTGAACACTGACAGGTCAGTAAAGGGCCCCGTCTTGTGGCAATATATTCCCCCATACTCATCAAGACAAACTAGAACACTGACAGGTCAGTAAAGGGTCCCGTCTTGTGGCAATGTATCCCCCATAATCATCAAGAAGCAATCTGCCCATATAGCTGAGCTTGACGTTTGACATTTGGACTTCAAAAAGAATCGCAAGGAAGCAAAATATACATGTAACATGTACTATGATGTGAGTCTTGTTTCCTTCCACCTCCATATTTGCTGGGCTAACAGAAATGTAAATACCGGTGCAATACTCATTTGTTAGCTTTGATTTGTTTTATTTCACCTTAAATAATTCCTTAATTCTAACCAACATTGCTTCGAAGTGTCATAACGAAATGTTCACCAGTGAAAAGATACTAAATTTGACATTGACCTTTGACCCAGTGACCTTGACCTTTGGTCAATTGACTTCTTGTTTAATTCTGACCAACTTTGCTTCAAAGTGTCATAACGAAATGTTCATCAGTGAAAAGATACAAAATTTGAACCTTGACCTATGACACGATGACCTTGACCTTTGGTCAGTTAACTCCTTGTTAAATTCTGATCAACTTTGCTTCATCATGTCATAACAAAGTGTTAATCAGTGAAAAGATGCAACATTTGACCTTGACCTTTGAAACCTCATTACTTTGACCTTGACATTTTACCTCAGTGTCTCTTTATTTAATTCCGACAAACTTTGCTTCATAAGGTCATAAAATGCTCATTAGTGAAAAGTGAAAAACTACAAAATGTTACCTTGACCTTTGACCCAGTGACCTTGACCTTTGGTCAGTTGACTCCTTGTTTAATTCTGATCAGTGAAAAGATACAAAATTTTACCTTTACCTTTGAACCTAATGACCTTGACCTTTGACCTTGACTTTTTACCTCGGTGTGTATTTTTGTGGACTGAACATCTTGACAAGTTCCAAGTAAATCGGTCAAAAAATACAAAAGTTATCAGCCAGGAACAAAATTTGTGGACGGACAGACAGTGTGATTACTACAGGGCACCCGTATCCCGAGCACCCGTATCTCGGATTAGTTTATGCCCCCTAGGTTAAAATAACACTTCAGAATAACATCCTTTGACTTGTTCTTTCAGATGAAATCACAAGATCTTATAAGAGTTCAGCAAATTTACTGGCTGAAAATGATTAAATTTTGAAGTCCGAAATTGGGAGTCTCCCTCCAAAATAGGGAGAGATGGAAAGTATACGAAATAAATATTGCCAGTGCATAAAAAACCATAACCCTCCAATCAGAATCAAGTGGACTTGTAAAAATCAATATTTTTTATCAATGCAAAATATTCAAAACATTTCACTAACGTCGTTTGTTCTTCTTGTGTCTGTCAATGTGGTCTTTAAGCTGGATGCGGACTTGTCGTTCTGTCGGCTGGTCTTTGATGAATGTGTGCTTTAGCAATTGTTCAGTGTTGGGTCTCTGTGTATAATCTTTCATTAGGCAAGTCTCTACAAAGTTTGAAAATCTGGAGGACCTGTCAAGAAAACATGATAAACAAACTTATAATGAGATAAACCTTGTGGTAATCATAATTTAGTAATTTTGATTTACCACAAAAAGTGCTGAAATATGATAACACAAGCCATTCAGATTGATATGTCTCGCCTGTGCCATACTTTAACCATCAATGCACATGTCAAGTTTGGTTGGTGTAGCCCTTATAGATTCAGAGAAACTAACTTAAACGCAAAACCTTAATGTTGATGGAGATGCTGACAAAGTCAATGGACCATGAAATGTAGGCCACATCCAGCATTTGATGCCTGGGTTGAGATGTACTACCTAAGATGGTCTAGCACCATCGCCACCGGTAAAGCAACACCTTAGTCTCGCTTCCGCTACTTCGTGACGGCGAGACAAAAACTAGGACTGATATTGCTAAAACAGGATGTTAACTGTACATTTATAATTCACCATTAGAGTTCCTCTCATAATTAATGATCTTTTTAAAATAACAGGATACCATTAATTACAAAATTAATGATACACTGTATTATGAACATGTCAGTAAACACATTTAGTTACAAAATTAACATCATGTTATGAACATGTCAGTTTAAATAATAATTAACAAAATCAATTGTACCTTTACGTATAATTAACATACCAGTATATTTAAGTTAATCTGCAGTTTCTGTTATTATGTAATGTCTGCTGAGGCAGTAAATATCATAAGCACACGAGAAAAAGGAGAATTTCACCCTGTTTTTACCATTTGGAGGACTTTAATCGGGGTGGCTGGTTGCGTGGTATAAGAAACAAGGCCCTCATGGGGTGCATATCACAAAGAGCTGAAAAATAATTAAAAGTTGAAATGTTAACTAGAACTGTAGGCCAAAACCTAACATCGCTATCCTTGATAAAAAGGTACAAAGAAATCAATATGTTGTTTACTACTACCTTGTATACTGATTAAGTGTAGAAAATTTAATTAAAATTAAAATTTTAGGAGAAATAATTAGGACATGTTTTTTTTATATAAAGGGGCATAACTCTGCAAAAACGATTCCATGGCGTGATAACGATTCCCTGGCGTACTTAAGAAGTTAAGTTTGAAGCCATTGAAGTACGTTTTTGTTCACTGATGTTAAACTTCGGGGAATTATATTTTAAAGATGTTGGTTGGCCAAACTGCCAGAATGTAAAGCCATGTGTCAGACAAATGTGTTTGTGATTACAGTCGGGCTAAACTTACGTGGTTTTCCTTCAGCACATTCAATAGATGTAATCCCTAAAGACCACAGGTCACTCTGAAAACCAAAATAAAGGCCATCAATTACGAGTACCAACATGTTGCAAATACAGCAGGGCTTATAACCATCCAAACAGCTAAAGTCATGAAAATGAGAGTCTCCTGGACACACTATCGAGTCTCCTGGACACTCTATCGAGTCTCCTGGACACACTATCGAGTCTCCTGGACACACTATGGAGTCTCCTGGACACTCTATCGAGTCTCCTTGACACACTATCGAGTCTCCTGGACACTCTATCGAAATCAAAGAGTATGTAGGGCTGCTTTTGTTGAAGCGATCTAAACGATTGGATCAGTTGAACCAGAGTTATTCGTTTATGGAATAAGGTCGGACCTAGTTAAACTGATGCTGGTTTCAGGGGAGCTGTGACAAAGCCTTGCAAGACATGAATAAAAATTTGCATGTCCGGCAGGATTTATACCGTAAAATGTTAAATTTAAAAACAGACATTTAACTGTACAGCATATATAGGCCGTAGGAGAGGCAGGAAAATCAAGTGTTGCTATAGGGACAGTAGATCAAATTTGTTTCCTCAACCTTTACAAAACAGCAAGAAAAGACCCCTGATTCTTAGCAAGGACCCCACAATGGTCACGTTGTACAATAATATGCAGTACTTCGTGCGGTACCTGGACCCGCCACACTACTCGTTTCATGGATTAAGCACCAAGGGCAGATAACTAAAGTATACAAACCCTGTTGTCATAGGTGGCATCAGGATTTTCATCACAGGCTATAACTTCGGGCGCCATCCTGTAAATCAAACAGAAATTTATATACAGATATAAATATATTCATAATTATTTTTCATCTATTTCCAATACAGCATTATCTACCCTGATAAATATCCAACTGTTCACCTTAAATCCTAAATCTGTGAGATCCATATGATTCAGTTTGATAATAATTTGCCAACAACTCCTTTCTGAATTGAGCACCTTTTTCCTATGACAGTATATCAGGACACATACTACCCTACACTTCTTCCGTATTGTTATATATTGTGATACACTTCAGACGTATTGTTATATATTGTGATACACTTCAGATGTATTGTTATATATTGTGATACACTTCAGACGTATTATTATATATTGTGATACACTTCAGACGTATTGTGGAACCCCTTGTTCATGCACAATTGTTTATCAGTCAAAGTTTATGAACATTTATTTTTTAAATTTCCCTCCCTGCGTTTACTTTAACCATAAATTAAGGATCCCTGTACCACTTCACTGTGGTTTTGCCTACATACAGTTACCTCCCATAAAGGATCCTGTACCACTACACTGTGGTTTTGCCTACATACAGTTACCTCCCATTAAGGATCCTGTACCACTTCACTGTGGTTTTGCCTACATACAGCTACCTCCCATTAAGGATCCCTGTACCACTTCACTGTGGTTTTGCCTACATACAGTAACCTCCCTTTAAGGATCCCTGTACCACTTCACTGTGGTTTTGCCTACATACAGTTACCTCCCATTAAGGATCCCTGTACCACTTCACTGTGATTTTGCCTACATACAGTTACCTCCCTTTAAGGATCCTGTACCACTTCACTATGGTTTTGACTACATACAGTTACCTCCCCCGTAAACCCGCTAGGACAATTGTAGCACAGTTTGACTAAGATACTTCTGTTGACCAGGTAGCTCAATCAGTTAGAGGGATAATACATAAATGTGAGGTCCCGGGTTCAAATCCCTGGTCAAGCCCCGCTGACAATCAGTTAGAGGGATAATACATCAATGTGAGGTCCCGGGTTGGAATCCCTGGTCTAGCCCCGCTGACAATCAGTTAGAGGGATAATACATCAATGTGAGGTCCCGGGTTGGAATCCCTGGTCTAGCCCCACTGACAATCAGTTAGAGGGATAATACATCAATGTGAGGTCCCGGGTTCGAATCCCTGGTCTAGCCCCGCTGACAATCAGTTAGAGGGATAATAATACATCAATGTGAGGTCCCGGGTACGAATCTCTGGTCCAGCCCCGCTGACAATCAGTTAGAGGGATAATACATCAATGTGAGGTCCCGGGTTGGAATCCCTGGTCCAGCCCCGCTGACAATCAAGGGATAATACGTAAATGTGAGGTCCCGGGTTGGTATCCCTGGTCCAGCCCCGCTGATCAATCAGTTATAGGGATAATACATCAATGTGAGGTCCCGTGTTGGAATCCCTTGTCTAGCCCCGCTGACCATCAGTTAGAGGGATAATACATCAATGTGAGGTCCCGGGTTGGAATCCCTGGTCTGGCCCCGCTGACAATCAGTTAGAGGGATAATACATCAATGTGAGGTCCCGGGTTTGAATCCATGGCCTAGCCCCGCTGACAATCAGTTAGAGGGATAATACATCAATGTGAGGTCCCGTGTTGGAATCCCTGGTCTAGCTCCGCTGATCAATCAGTTAGAGGGATAATACATCAAGGTGGGGGCCCGGGTTGGAATCCCTGGTCTAGCTCCGCTGATCAATCAGTTAGAGGGATAATCCATCAATGTGAGGTCCCGGGTTCGAATCCCTGGTCAAGCACCGCTGACAATCAGTTAGAGGGATAATGCATCAATGTGAGGTCCCGGGTTCGCATCCCTGGTCCAGCCCCGCTGACAATCAGTTAGAGGGATAATACATCAAGGTGGGGTCCCGTGTTGGAATCCCTGGTCTAGCTCCGCTGATCAATCAGTTAGAGGGATAATACATCAATGTGAGGTCCCGGGTTTGAATCCCTAGTCCAGCCCCGCTGATCAATCAGCTAGAGGGATAATACATCCATGTGAGGTCCCGGGTTTGAATCCCTGGTCCACCCCCGCTGATCAATCACTTAGAGGGATAATACATCCATGTGAGGTCCCGGGTTTGAATCCCTGGTCCATCCCCGCTGATCAATCACTTAGAGGGATAATACATCAGTGTGAGGTCCCGGGTTGGAATCCCTGGTCCAGCCCCGCTGACAATGTTAACACTCAGAACACTGTTGTTGTTGTTGTTGATAACATTTTGTTTGTTCATCTTTATTATCTCATAAAAGTTCCAAGTTCTGGTTTTCTGTTTAGAAACGATTTATCAAAGCTATGGTCATGCCGGAAAAATAGTTTCCAATAGTTAGTAACAGTATTGGCAGTGGTACAGGGATCCTTAATTAATGCTCCTCTTTTATCTGAAATCTTACCAGTACGGCGTCCCAATAAACGTGTTTCTTCTACCAATAGTTTTATCAAGCTGAGCGCTGACACCAAAGTCAACTGAAACAGAAAAGTAAACATCATTGTCCCCTCGCATAAACGTTTGAGGATAAATACTAAAGTACATTAGCCTGTTGTCGTCAATGTAGCAGCCTCATTTCTAGACAGATTTGCGTAAAACTTCGCATTCATGTTTGCCTTAAACAAATCTGAATATAGGCTTCGTCAGTCAAAGGTCAAGATAGCACTGTTACTGGAAATAGAATTTCATCATCATACTCTTTGTCATAACAAGTAAGATCAGCGTCATTGGTCACAGGTCAATGTCATTGTTAAATTAAATTTTACCATCACACCCATCATCATTCTTGCCGCAATATTTCTCTACAAATTTTTCATGAAATTTTAGTTTGCCTTTATGGGAGTCATTTTTAAAGGTTAACCCTTAGGCTGCTATATTGATTTCTATGTAAACGGACACCACTGCTGAATTAATTATTGAAATTTATTTTAGTTTACTTGATTTTTCAAATGTTCATAACTTGGAAAATATTTGTTATATGTGAAAAAAAGTTATATGAAAATTGTTCATTGTTGTCTCTAGTTTATATTAACGTTTTCAATTCTAAAGTTGCTTCAGTATTTACCTGTACAGGTGGTAATAAAGGTAGGAAGAGGAAGATCATTTTAAAATTATTTTCATCCGTAAATGTGATTGGCAAATGATAACAGAGATTATAAACTTCATTTTTGACATAAGACGCTGTATATTTACACGGAGATTCTCAGGTAAAAAGGTCAGGTATTTCGTCAAGAATTGCATCTGATTTGCTTCAGGTTTCAGGTCGCCATTCAATACATTTACTGTCATAGTCGGCATATAAATATATCTTAGCTACGGTCTAGTTTATGATTAAATCACCGATAAAAAGTTTGAAGCAATAAATCGGCTCAAAACGTATCAATGTCAATGTTCAATTGGGCCTCACCTGCAGACGACATGTGCGCCTCGGTCCGCCGATATTTTCCTGTTTGTGTAGAGCACAAGGCCGTTTACTGGAAAGTTACATTTTATGTAACACCGAAGTATTTCCACATCAAACATGCCAAACCCTTCAAAACCTTTATTATCATTGTAGGTGACGATGGACAATAAATGTTTACCCTCATATGCATCGCTTCAATCTACACGTCCGCCATTTTTATGACTTTTTTTTCGATTTGAAAATCCTCGCACACTTTTGGTTATTACTAGGGTACACTGCCGTGAATATCGAAAGTAATGGCAAAACAACCAATCAGAAGCCTTCTACTATACGCGTTCGGGTTTGGTATAGCAACATCCCGACTTCACACTTCCTGGCTACCGATCAAAACCTACAGACCGAGAGACGACTATTGTCGTACGTAGCACTGACGGCCCGACTTTTCAAAACGACTATTGTCGTGCGTAGCAGCCTAAGGGTTAAGACCACTGCTACTAAAATTAGAATTTCATGTTCATGCTATTTCATGCTATCTATAACACAATTCAACAGGGATCCGTTAAATAGTCTATTTTTCTTTGTTTTAATTCTGTTTTGGTTAAATAGTGTCTTTTTCTTTGTTTTAATTCTGTTTTAGTTAAATAGTGGCCTTTTCTTTGTTTTAATTCTGTTTTGGTTAAATAGTGTCTTTTTCTTTGTTCTAATTCTGTTTTAGTTAAATAGTGGCTTTTTCTTTGTTTTAATTCTGTTTTGAAGTGTTTTAAGAGCCGTTTCCTTTCACCACTTGGTTTTCAATGGCTCTTTTCCTTTCAGTTTTTTATTTTGAGTTGTAACAACTTACTGTTACTCATTCAATAAAATACACACAATTGTGCTATGATTGTATTTCATAAATACAGCAGAAAATTCCACTATGTTTGCCTTTTTAAGTCAAATACAAAGTATTCTAACAATATCAAAACACAAACTGCACAATGAAAATCTGTTGTCTATCAAAACACATTTGCCAAAGATCAATACTCACAAGTCAGTAAATAACACGAAAATAAATCTTTTGCAAAAATGACATGATTCACCTTCTTGAGTTTATTTTCAGCTTTGAATGTTTTTACAGATGGACAGAAAATTAAGATGGTAACAGTATATCTGGAGAAGTTTTTGTTGTTTTATCAAACTCGATTCCAAATCTCCCAGATTTTTGTAATCAGAACTTGTATGAAGTACTTACCTAGCTTGACCTCAGCATTGTCTGTCAGGAGAACGTTCTGACCCTTAATGTCCCGGTGTATGACTTTGTTTCCATGTAAATGAGCAAGTCCCTGTAAGAATATACAAAGAAAATAAATAGATATCTTGTGTACATAAATTATGTTTTTAGACATTTTCAAAATAGTCTAGCAATATGATTGCTCCCACCAACAAAACAAAACCAATTATTTATGTGTTTAAGTCATGTGGTTGTTCTCAAGACTGTACAAACATTGCCTACCTATAACATTTCTCTATATAAACATTGCCTACCCATAACATTTCTCTGTATAAACATTGCCTACCTATAACATTTCTCTGTATAAACATTGCATATACCTATAATATTTCTCTGTATAAACACTGCTACCTATAGCATTTCTCTGTATAAACATTGCCTACCTATAACATTTCTCTGTATAAATTAACACTGCTACCTATAACATTTCTCTGTATAAACATTGCCTACCTATAACATTTCTCTGTATAAACATTGCATATACCTATAATATTTCTCTGTATAAACACTGCTACCTATAGCATTTCTCTGTATAAACATTGCCTACCTATAACGTTTCTCTGTATTAATATTGCCTACCTATAACATTTCTCTGTATAAACATTGCCTACCTATAACATTTCTCTGTATAAACATTTCCTACCTATAACATTTCTCTGTACAAACATTGCCTACCTATAACATTTCTCTGTATAAACATTGACTACCTATAACATTTCTCTGTATAATTATTGCCTACCTATAACATTTCTCTGTATAAACATTGCCTACCTATAACATTTCTCTGTATAAACATTGACTACCCATAACATTTCTCTGTATAAACATTGCATATACCTATAATATTTCTCTGTATAAACACTGCTACCTATAGCATATCTCTGTATAAACATTGCCTACCTATAACATTTCCCTGTATAAACATTGACTACCTATAACATTTCTTTGTATAATTATTGCCTACCTATAACATTTCCCTGTATAAACATTGACTACCTATAACATTTCTTTGTATAATTATTGCCTACCTATAACTTTTCTCTGTATAAACATTGCCTACCTATAACATTTCTCTGTATAATTATTGCCTACCTATAACATTTCTCTATATAAACATTGCCTACCTATAACGTTTCTCTGTATTAATATTGCCTACCTATAACATTTCTCTGTACAAACATTGCCTACCTATAACATTTCTCTATATAAACATTGCCTACCTATAACATTTCTCTGTATAAACATTGCCTACCTATAACATTTCTCTGTACAAACATTGCCTACCTATAACATTTCTCTATATAAACATTGCCTACCTATAACATTTCTCTGTACAAACATTGCCTACCTATAACATTTCTATGTACAAACATTGCCTACCTATAACATTTCTCTGTATAAACATTGCCTACCTATAACATTTCTCTATATAAACATTGCCTTTACCGGTGAAGGGTGAAATATACACTGGGCGAGTTATGGTTGTTACCGGTGAAGGGTGAGATATACACAGGGCCAGTTATGGTTGTTACTGGTGAAGGGTAAGATATACACTGGGCGAATTATGGTTGTTACCGGTGAAGGGTGAGATATACACTGGGCGAGTTATGGTTGTAACCGGTGAAGGGTGAGATATACACAGGGCGAATTATGGTTGTTACCAGTGAAGGGTGAGATATACACAGGGCGAATTATGGTTGTTACCGGTGAAGGGTGAGATATACAGAGGGCGAATTATGGTTGTTACCGGTGAAGGGTGAGATATACACTGGGCGAGTTATGGTTGTTACCGGTGAAGGGTGAGATATACACAGGGCCAGTTATGGTTGTTACCGGTGAAGGGCGAGATAAACACTGGGCGAGTTATGGTTGTTACCAGTGAAGGGTGAGATATACACTGGGCGAGTTATGGTTGTTACTGGTGAAGGGCGAGATATACACAGGGCGAGTTATGGTTGTAACCGGTGAAGGGTGAGAGTATTATATACACTGGGCGAGTTATGGTTGTTACCGGTGAAGGCCGAGATATACACCGGGCGAGTTATGGTTGTTACCGCTGAAGGGTGAGATATACACAGGGCGAATTATGGTTGTTACTGGTGAAGGGTGAGACATACACAGGGTGAGTTATGGTTGTTACCGGTGAAGGGTGACATATACACAGGGCGAGTTATGGTTGTTACCGGTGAAGGGTGAGATATACACAGGGCGAGTTATGGTTGTTACCGGTGAAGGGCGAGATATACACTGGGCGAGTTATAGTTGTTACCGGTGAAGGGCGAGATATACACTGGGCGAATTATGGTTGTTACCGGTGAAGGGTGAGATTTACACTGGGCGACTTATGGTTGTTACCTGTGAGTGGTGAGATATACACTGGGCGAGTTATGGTTGTTACCAGTGAAGGGTGAGATATACACTGGGCGAGTTATGGTTGTTACCAGTAAAGGGTGACATATACACTGGGCGTGTTATGGTTGTTACCGGTGAAGTGTGAATATTTGACTGGATGAGAAATACCTAGTATACAGTTCTTTAACTACACATAGGAGTTTTTTGGGTGACGCACTACCTACCCATAGGAGTTTTTTTGGGTGACGCACTACCTACACATAGGAGTTTTTTGGGTGATGCACTACCTACACATAGGAGTTTTTTCGGTGACGCACTACCTACACATAGGAGTTTTTTGGGTGATGCACTTCCTACACATAGGAGTTTTTTGGGTGACGCACTACCTACACATAGGTGTTTTTTGGGTGACGCACTACCTACACATAGGAGTTTTTTGGGTGAAGCACTACCTACACATAGGAGTTCTTTGGGTGATGCACTACCTACACATAGGAGTTTTTTGTGTGATGCACTACCTACACATAGGAGTTTTTTTCTCTTTCATTTCGGTGTGTGTAAGAATAGAGCTGTCCAGGGTAAGAAATGGGTACAAGAAATTTCTATCTTTCACCAAGTTTCATGTGACGTCACAAATGCTCAACAATGGCGTGACATCACAAATTTGGAAAAGTCAGATGTCTTAATGTGAAAAAAAGGATGTGGTGAAAATAAAACCGTTTACAATATATTGACCGCACATGTTAGAAAGATGAGATTGTTTTTTCTGTGCAAATATGGGGTATGCTAAATCTCCGACACATTCGTTCTCGTCATAAAAAACCAGGGGAATAGTTGATATCTTGGTAGCCAGTCCAAATGCATTTTTTAATGGTTTCTGAGCTTATTCTGATAGTTGGAACGAGAGACAAATATTCTTTCATACCTAGGAGTGTAGGAAAGGGAAATTCCACCCTAGGGGTGTAGGATAGGGAAATTCCTCCCTAGGAGTGTAGGATAGAGGATAGGGAAATTCCAGCCTAGGAGTGTAGGATAGGGACATTCCACCCAAGGATAGTAGGATAAGGAAATTCCACCCTAGGGGTGTAGAAAAGGGAAATTCCACCCTAGGGGGGTAGGAAAGGGAAATTCCACCCTAGGAGTGTAGGAAAGGGAAATTCCACCCTAGGAGTGTAGGATAGGGAAATTATACCCTAGGAGTGTAGGATAGGGAAATTCCACCCTAGGAGCGTAGGATAGGGAAATTCCACCCTAGGAGTGTAGGATAGGGAAATTCCACCCTAGGAGTGTAGGGTAGGGAAATTCCACACTAGGAGTGTAGGATAGGGAAATTCCACCCTAGGAGTGTAGGATAGGGAAACTCCACCCTAGGAGTGTAGCATAGGGAAATTCCACCCTAGGGGTGTAGGATAGGGAAATTCCACCCTAGGGGTGTAGGATAGGGAAATTCCACCCTAGGAGTGTAGGATAGGGAAATTCCACCCTAGGGGTGTAGGATAGGGAAATTCCACCCTAGGAGTGTAGGATAGGGAAATTCCACCCTAGGAGTGTAGGATAGGGAAATTCCACCCTAAAGATTTTCAAATTTTGCAAAACCTTTGACAAAGCCTCAGATTTTACCAAATTTGAAAACCCCTTAGATAGAATTTCCCTATTCTATACCCCTGGGCATAGAAGAGTCTTATAGTATTACACACTACCTACCCGTGGGATTTCTCCGTATTACACACTACCTACTCATTGGATTTCTCCGTATAACACACAACCTACCCGTAGGATTTCTCTGGCAATGTAGGCAATCCACTCCTCTTTCAGCGAGTTACCCTTCGTGGCTGTAAAATAGTTAAATCGGCCAAAACATGTCTTATTATACAAGTTTTGTTATAGTGTATAACTCTTTTCATGAAACTCACTAAAGCTTATTTCACTAAATCATAATTATTATTCAACAGAAAATGTTACGAGATTTATATACATTTTTTATATAGGATATTAGTTATGGTTGAAAAATCATTATAACAAAGGACAACAGTACTCAGTCTCACTCAATTTAACTCAAAACATCAAATGGTGACAGAGGATCAACACTATTGCAGGGTATTACTTTATCAGTGGGTTTAATGGCATGAAAACAATGTATGTAAATATTCTGTATTACTACTGTTCAGAATATTTTGTTTTGTCATTATCATTGGTCAGAAAAGAACATGACATTGTATGCAAAAAAAAACTACCGTAAATTTTTTGTGTTTTTCTGAATTTTTTCTTAGTTATAAAACAAAACGTTACCCTACCTGTTTTAGGTGACAAGGTTTGGTAGAAACTAGCCAGGGCTGCTTTATATAAAGACACTGCCTACCTCGGTACTGGCATTATTATCAAAAGTAAATTTATGCGTGTGAATGGATATTACATAAGGGTAAGAACCAATCAGTCCCTGATGAAGGGCCAAGTCCGTAAGTTTGGATGTAGAGTGACAGTACGTATATATTTGATGTGACAGAAGAGTGGGGACCATTCAGTCCCTGATGAAGGGCCAAGTCTGTAAGTTTGGACGTAGAGTGACCGTACGTATATATTTGATGTGACAGAAGAGTGGGGACCATTCAGTCCCTGATGAAGGGCTAAGTCTGTAAGTTTGGATGTAGAGTGACAGTACGTATATATTTGATGTGACAGAAGAGTGGGGACCATTCAGTCCCTGATGAAGGGCTAAGTCTGTAAGTTTGGATGTAGAGTGACAGTACGTATATATTTGATGTGACAGAAGAGTGGGGACCATTCAGTCCCTGATGAAGGGCTAAGTCTGTAAGTTTGGATGTAGAGTGACAGTACGTATATATTTGATGTGACAGAAGAGTGGGGACCATTCAGTCCCTGATGAAGGGCTAAGTCTGTAAGTTTGGATGTAGAGTGACAGTACGTATATATTTGATGTGACAGAAGAGTGGGGACCATTCAGTCCCTGATGAAGGGCTAAGTCTGTAAGTTTGGATGTAGAGTGACAGTACGTATATATTTGATGTGACAGAAGAGTGGGGACCATTCAGTCCCTGATGAAGGGCTAAGTCTGTAAGTTTGGATGTAGAGTGACAGTACGTATATATTTGATGTGACAGAAGAGTGGGGACCATTCAGTCCCTGATGAAGGGCTAAGTCTGTAAGTTTGGATGTAGAGTGACAGTACGTATATATTTGATGTGACAGAAGAGTGGGGACCATTCAGTCCCTGATGAAGGGCTAAGTCTGTAAGTTTGGATGTAGAGTGACAGTACGTATATATTTGATGTGACAGAAGAGTGGGGACCATTCAGTCCCTGATGAAGGGCTTAGTCTGTAAGTTTGGACGTAGAGTGACAGTACCTATATATTTGATGTGACAGAAGAGTGGGGACCATTCAGTCACTGATGAAGGGCCGAGCCTGAAATCTTTGGACTTGGAGTGACTGTTGCTATTTATCAGTTTATATATATTTTTGTATTGAAAATAGAAATTTTGCAGACAAGACTTACAATTCTGCGGAATTCTTTAATATTTTTAATTATAAGCAAACCTTTGACTAGATCAGTTACAGAACCGGCTCCACAGAACTCCATAACCAGCTGGAATACAAGACAGCAGCGTATTACATATAGATCTGGGTACAAGGCTAGTCATAGTATTACATATAAACCTGGGTACAAGGCTAGTAAAGTATACTACAGACCGAGTTTTTCTCCTCAAAGACATTCATACAGTTGTTCTTGTATCAAGATGTATCATTTGTAATTCCAGTTTGAACAAATATTTTTTTATTTCTCATAAAATTCCCGCAATGTATGGTTTTTATTTCAGAAATCATTTATCAAAGCTATAGTCATGCCCAAAAAATCAGCTTCAAACACTCAAGTTAAACTTTTTGGCAGTGGTATTAGATTCCTTAAATGAATTTTTTAATATCCTTAAAAGCTCCAGAGACAGAATCAGAATTTTTTTTTTTTTTTTTTTTTCAACATTTATAATATACAGCGAACCTTATTATACTGCCAACATCTATAACAGAATTGTGAAGAAGAAGGAGAGCTTTCGGTATATAATAAGTATGTGTTTTACCCATAGTTGGTCATCTTTCCCAGGAGGGCTCTTTTTTATAAAAGCACCATAGTATGTGGCAATATTCCGATGATTTGAAAACTGAAAAAAGAAAATCAGACATGATCTGATATATTATCATAGTTCAAATATACTACATATAAAAGTACTAAATGTTTACTGTGGGATTGTCTCAAAATTATATTGCAAGCACAGGTCAAGATCACAATTAAATATATATTGTTCATAGACCGATTTAGTTTGTGAAACTGCTCCTTAGCAGTGACATTACAAATGCATTACCGTCAATGGGAACTGTGACCTGAACACATCGTAGCGTCAATGGGAACTGTGACCTGAACACATTGTACCGTCAATGGGAACTGTGACCTGAACACATCGTACCGTCAATGGGAACTGTGACCTGAACACATTGTACCGTCAATGGGAACTGTGACCTGAACACATCGTACCGTCAATGGGAACTGTGACCTGAACACATCGTACCGTCAATGGGAACTGTGACCTGAACACATCGTACCGTCAATGGGAACTGTGACCTGAACACATCGTACCGTCAATGGGAACTGTGACCTGAACACATCGTACCGTCAATGGGAACTGTGACCTGAACACATCGTACCGTCAATGGGAACTGTGACCTGAACACATCGTACCGTCAATGGGAACTGTGACCTGAACACATCGTACCGTCAATGGGAACTGTGACCTGAACACATCGTACCGTCAATGGGAACTGTGACCTGAACACATCGTACCGTCAATGGGAACTGTGACCTGAACACATCGTACCGTCAATGGGAACTGTGACCTGAACACATCGTACCGTCAATGGGAACTGTGACCTGAACACATCGTACCGTCAATGGGAACTGTGACCTGAACACATCGTACCGTCAATGGGAACTGTGACCTGAACACATCGTACCGTCAATGGGAACTGTGACCTGAACACATCGTACCGTCAATGGGAACTGTGACCTGAACACATCGTACCGTCAATGGGAACTGTGACCTGAACACATCGTACCGTCAATGGGAACTGTGACCTGAACACATCGTACCGTCAATGGGAACTGTGACCTGAACACATCGTACCGTCAATGGGAACTGTGACCTGAACACATCGTACCGTCAATGGGAACTGTGACCTGAACACATCGTACCGTCAATGGGAACTGTGACCTGAACACATCGTACCGTCAATGGGAACTGTGACCTGAACACATCGTATCGTCAATGGGAACTGTGACCTGAACACATCGTACCGTCAATGGGAACTGTGACCTGAACACATCCCAGAAAACTTGAGGTCCTAAATTATCTCTATTCAAATAATTTGATTTGTTTCTATATTTGACTTTATTATCGTGGAACATTTTCAAGGATTATTTATGAACTACTTAAGATCAACTTATCGATGCAGTGACAGAGGACATTGGACAGAGGTCAATAAATGTCAGTCACTGTACTCACTTTTTTCAAAACATTTATTTCCAGCTTGATTTCTTCTTCTTCATCCTGAAAAAAAATATGAAAAGTATTCAGTACTGATGAGACAATAGGTGTCTGTCTCAGAGCTACGGATACTTTGATAGACTAGGGAGTATTTGATGGTTAAGACCTACGGATACTTTGATAGACTAGGGAGTATTTGGTGGTTGAGACCTACGGATACTTTGACAGACTAGGGAGTATTTGGTGGTTGAGACCTATGGACACTTTGATAGACTAGGGAGTATTTGGTGGTTGAGACCTACAGATACTTTGATAGACTAGGGAGTATGTGGTGGTTGAGACCTACGGATACTTTGATAGACTAGGAAGTATTTCGTGGTTGAGACCTACGGATACTTTGATAGACTAGGTAGTATTTGGTGGTTGAGACCTACGGATACTTTGATAGACTAGGGAGTATTAGGTGGTTGAGACTAACTGATACTTTGATAGACTAGGGAGTATTTGGTGGTTGAGACCTACTGATACTTTGATAGACTAGGAAGTATTTGGTGGTTGAGACCTACGGATACTTTGATAGACTAGGGTGTATTTGGTGGTTGAGACTTACTGATACTTTGATAGACTGGGGAGTATTTGGTGGTTCAGACCTACGGATACTTTGATAGACTAGGGAGTATTTGGTGGTTGAGACCTACTGATACTTTGATAGACTAGGGAGTATTTGGTGGTTGAGACCTACTGATACTTTGATAGACTAGGGAGTATTCGGTGGTTGATAACATTGCATTAAGAAAATGTATGTAACAATAAAGTAAAAGAATGAGTAAAGAAAACATTTTTTTTACTCGCTATTAAATTTATCATGGAATATCACACAACATAGAAAGTAACTTTAGAGACAACAAGATCTACAAAATCAATTATTCCCATAGACCTAGTGATGTTCCTGATGATAGTCTATTGGTCTAGATCTACTGTTGAGACCTAGTGATGTTCCTGATGATAGTCTATTGGTCTAGATCTACTGTTGAGACCTAGTGATGTTCCTGATGATAGTCTATTGGTCTAGATCTACTGTTGAGACCTAGTGATGTTCCTGATGATAGTCTATTGGTCTAGATCTACTGTTGAGACCTAGTGATGTTCCTGATGATAGTCTATTGGTCTAGATCTACTGTTGAGACCTAGTGATGTTCCTGATGATAGTCTATTGGTCTAGATCTACTGTTGAGACCTAGTGATGTTCCTGATGATAGTCTATTGGTCTAGATCTACTGTTGAGACCTAGTGATGTTCCTGATGATAGTCTATTGGTCTAGATCTACTGTTGAGACCTAGTGATGTTCCTGATGATAGTCTATTGGTCTAGATCTACTGTTGAGACCTAGTGATGTTCCTGATGATAGTCTATTGGTCTAGATCTACTGTTGAGACCTAGTGATGTTCCTGATGATAGTCTATTGGTCTAGATCTACTGTTGAGACCTAGTGATGTTCCTGATGATAGTCTATTGGTCTAGATCTACTGTTGAGACCTAGTGATGTTCCTGATGATAGTCTATTGGTCTAGATCTACTGTTGAGACCTAGTGATGTTCCTGATGATAGTCTATTGGTCTAGATCTACTGTTGAGACCTAGTGATGTTCCTGATGATAGTCTATTGGTCTAGATCTACTGTTGAGACCTAGTGATGTTCCTGATGATAGTCTATTGGTCTAGATCTACTGTTGAGACCTAGTGATGTTCCTGATGATAGTCTATTGGTCTAGATCTACTGTTGAGACCTAGTGATGTTCCTGATGATAGTCTATTGGTCTAGATCTACTGTTGAGACCTAGTGATGTTCCTGATGATAGTCTATTGGTCTAGATCTACTGTTGAGACCTAGTGATGTTCCTGATGATAGTCTATTGGTCTAGATCTACTGTTGAGACCTAGTGATGTTCCTGATGATAGTCTATTGGTCTAGATCTACTGTTGAGACCTAGTGATGTTCCTGATGATAGTCTATTGGTCTAGATCTACTGTTGAGACCTAGTGATGTTCCTGATGATAGTCTATTGGTCTAGATCTACTGTTGAGACCTAGTGATGTTCCTGATGATAGTCTATTGGTCTAGATCTACTGTTGAGACCTAGTGATGTTCCTGATGATAGTCTATTGGTCTAGATCTACTGTTGAGACCTAGTGATGTTCCTGATGATAGTCTATTGGTCTAGATCTACTGTTGAGACCTAGTGATGTTCCTGATGATAGTCTATTGGTCTAGATCTACTGTTGAGACCTAGTGATGTTCCTGATGATAGTCTATTGGTCTAGATCTACTGTTGAGACCTAGTGATGTTCCTGATGATAGTCTATTGGTCTAGATCTACTGTTGAGACCTAGTGATGTTCCTGATGATAGTCTATTGGTCTAGATCTACTGTTGAGACCTAGTGATGTTCCTGATGATAGTCTATTGGTCTAGATCTACTGTTGAGACCTAGTGATGTTCCTGATGATAGTCTATTGGTCTAGATCTACTGTTGAGACCTAGTGATGTTCCTGATGATAGTCTATTGGTCTAGATCTACTGTTGAGACCTAGTGATGTTCCTGATGATAGTCTATTGGTCTAGATCTACTGTTGAGACCTAGTGATGTTCCTGATGATAGTCTATTGGTCTAGATCTACTGTTGAGACCTAGTGATGTTCCTGATGATAGTCTATTGGTCTAGATCTACTGTTGAGACCTAGTGATGTTCCTGATGATAGTCTATTGGTCTAGATCTACTGTTGAGACCTAGTGATGTTCCTGATGATAGTCTATTGGTCTAGATCTACTGTTGAGACCTAGTGATGTTCCTGATGATAGTCTATTGGTCTAGATCTACTGTTGAGACCTAGTGATGTTCCTGATGATAGTCTATTGGTCTAGATCTACTGTTGAGACCTAGTGATGTTCCTGATGATAGTCTATTGGTCTAGATCTACTGTTGAGACCTAGTGATGTTCCTGATGATAGTCTATTGGTCTAGATCTACTGTTGAGACCTAGTGATGTTCCTGATGATAGTCTATTGGTCTAGATCTACTGTTGAGACCTAGTGATGTTCCTGATGATAGTCTATTGGTCTAGATCTACTGTTGAGACCTAGTGATGTTCCTGATGATAGTCTATTGGTCTAGACCTACTGTTGAGACCTAGTGATGTTCCTGATGATAGTCTATTGGTCTAGACCTACTGTTGAGACCTATAGTGATGTTCCTGATGATAGTCTATTGGTCTAGATCTACTGTTAAGACCTAGTGATGTTCCTGATGATAGTCTATTGGTCTAGATCTACTGTTAAGTTTAACACTAGTAATACTACAGCTTTGACATTTCAGAAAAAAAAACAGTTGTCAAATACCAGACTATATACTGGATCATTTGATAAGTTAAATTTTAACTTTAATTACGACAACAGAAAGGTGATGCCCAGAGTTGAATCTAATTTGTCTTGGACTACGAAAGGTTTAAAATTGTTTTACAAATATATAACAAATTAATTCGGCTGACCCACACAGCGACCTTACCTCCGTAACATTCATCACTTTGATGGCAGCCAACTGCCCAGTCTTGGTATGTCGACCCTGAAATTATAGATAAAGTGGATGTAATTTTCAGTACGCCTGCAGAATTTGGTTTTCTTTATCAAAATATAATCTGTGCTGGAAAAATAATATTTAGTTGGATCGATGATAAGTGATTTGAGTAACTGTGATTTGAGTAACTGAGCTAATTAAACAAGCAGTTTCCTATTAGTCACAACATCAAAGCAGCCATCGTAAATCTAGTTCGTTTCAGTCTGCCTCAGAATATACAAGTAGCCCAATGGGCCTGAATCGCTCACCTGGTATTAATCTCACACTTGTAATCTTAAAAGTGGACTAAAATATAGCTACAGGCAGAATATCAGTGTTTGACTCATAAGAACCTATTAAAAGATTTAAACATATGACACCTGTGACCCAGAATGTCGATCAAGGACAAAAATTTGAACAGAGGTTATAGTCGTCCAAACCAGCATGCTTCTGGCAAAATATCATTACCCTGGACTTTTTGGTTATACAGAACAAATCATTTAAAGATTTAAACATATATTGACCACTGTGACCTTGAATATGTTGAAGGTCATTCATTTGAACAAACTTAGTAGTCCTTCATAACAGCATGTTAATGGCCAAATATCATCACCCTTGGTCTTTTGCTTATTGAGAAGAGGTCGTTTAAAGGTTTTAAACATATTTGACCCCTGTGACCTTGAATATAAGTCAAGGTCATTTGTTCGAACAAACTTGGTAGCCCTTTATCCTAGCATTTTACTGGCCAAATATCATAATCCTAGGCTTCTTGGTTATTCAGAAAAAGTTGTTAAAGGTTTTAAACATATTTGACAACTGTGACCTTGAATATTTGTCAAGATCATTCATTTTAACAAACTTGGTAGCCCTTCATCCTAGCATGTTACTAGGCCTCTTAGTTATTCAAAAGAAGTTGTTTAAAAGATTTTTTAAGACAATTGACCCCTGTGACCTTGAAAATGGATGAGGGTCACTCATTTGAACAACTTGGTATACGTAGCCCTTCATCCCAGCATGCTACTGGCCAAATATCATCACCCTGGGCATTTTGGTTATTCAGAAGAAGTTGTTAAAGGTTTTAAACATATTTGACCCCTGTGACCTTGAAAATAGGCGAAGGTCATTTATTTTAACAAACTTGGGAGCCCTTCTTTCCAGTTTGCTTCTGGCCAAATATCATCACCCTAGGCCTCTTGGTAATTAACCGTGGCATAAGGTCACTCTGCATCCACTTTGCACTGTAACTCCCACAAAGTGTCAACAAAGGGGACCCTCATTTTCGTCTCAGTTAATCAGGGGACATAATGACTTTTCCTTTTACTCATTACCAAGTATACTCCCTATGTATCACTCCCACAGAGTATAAACAAGAGGCCCAAGAGGGCCTGTATCGCTCAACTGAATATTTAAGCAGTCATAGCAAAATATTCTCATTAAATATTATATTGCACTAAAAATATTTCCCTCACAAACTTTGTTCGGTCCATCTGTTGAAACTACCAGCAAAATATTATTATGAGATTCTATGCTTTTTGATTCTTCTTCAGAAGTTGCTTAGCATATTTTTCCCTGTGACCTTTTAAGTAGGTCAATATCATTTTCTCAAATTGGTTAGCTCTATTCCAAAATGCTACCAGCCCAATATTATGAATCCATTCCTTTTAGTTCTTGAGAACAAACCCTTAAAATGTTGTTGATTTCTATGACCTCTTAAGTAGGTTGAGGTCATTTTCATTCGCAAACTTTGGTGAACTCGATCTCAGGAAGTCACTAGCCAAATATTATAATTTTATGCCTTTTAATTCTTCTTCAGAAGTAGTTTGAACCGTTTGACATATTTGAACGCTGTGACCTTGAAAGTAAGTCGAGGTCATTTTCATTCGCAAACTTTGTTTGGCTCTTTCCCAGGAAATAACCAGCAAAATATTAAGGTTCTATACCTTCCAGTTCTTCAGAAGAAGTCGTTTTAACTCTTTCACCACTAAGTAACTTTACATATTAACTACCACTCAACACTAAGTAACTTTCAGTTAATTAGTCAGATTAATTAATTACACATTTCAGCATCATAACTTCACCATTTAATATCTGATTCTCGCATATGTCATATACCAAAATTTACATAATAGTCACAGGATTATATCTATGATGTCAACTCAGACATCATGTTACCTGTACTAAAGTGTCTCACGTTAACCGGTGTTATAAAGGTAAGTTACAGGTAATTTGTATACCTTTTTACTTGAATGAGTTTAATATATATATTTCTTAGTTGTTTCCTCTGCAATTAATGTTCAAAGTAAAACAAAGACAATTTTCTCAGCTCATCTCATCTTTTACCTGGTATTTTGTAATGTATTCACAGGTAAATCTCGTTAACATCCATCATGAAGAATCAAGGTACAGTTCCAAAGACTCATGAATAAACTGATTGAAAATATCAGCTTTCTTTTTCAATTGTTCAATTAATTCATAACAAGTGTTTTAGTCCATATTCTACAGGTAAACAAAATAGTCAGGTAAGCCCAGGTGTGCTTCGAAAGCTCGTTAGCGTACCTGTGTATGTAGTCTACTGCCAAAAATACACTTTTGTGTGAAAAACATGTGCTGTGTACATTACAGCACAAGGCAACATCACATTTCCCACAACCCATGGTTGTTTTTGAGCGTTTGTATGGATTGTCCTTTACTGTAGAACCGGGGTGACTGGCCATGTAGTTTCTATGCTTCCTGTTGCACACAACACAAAGGCGGCCTTTTCCTCCTGCGGCGATGGGCAAGTGACCATTACCATCTCGTCTGGCATCGTTGTTTGCGTCAGATCTAGGCCTCCTGAAACACTTTCTGGACACATTTCTGAATTCTCCAATAAGACTGTGGGCCAGCTCCAGTTTGAAGGTCATAAAATCTCTTTTCCTGTGATTTGTGGGACTCTGATTGATGAAGCTACCTTCAATAATGAATGCATTATAAGCAGCACATTCCCTCAGTTTCACTTCAATCTTGCAATACCACCTCATGCATTTCTTGGATTTGTTGATACGAGTCATTTGGTCGAGTCGGTCTACTCCACCCATGTACTGGGCATAAGCTGCCTGGACAGGTGTGGACTTTAGCTGAGTTTCTGTGCCATCCTTTTTCTTCCTTCTTGTCACCAGCTGATCATCCTCTGGGTCATGGAATGTGGACAAGTAGTAAACCACTCTGTTATCTTTCCACCATGTAGCCAACAGAATACCGTTCATCAGCCAATCAGAATTTCCTCTTTCAACTTTTTTCTCATCAGATTTTTTGACTACAAGTTTTTTCGGGTATCCTTTCCGGTTGCATCGAATCGTACCACAGAGGTAAGTGTTCCTGGACAACAAATAATCTGCCAAAAATGGACTGGTATAAAAGTTATCTGTGAATATCACATGCCCCTTCATTTCTAGAAACTTTGTCACCTCAATCACAACTCTGGAGGACAGTCCAAACACTTTGTTCACAATGTCTGCATTTTCCCCAACATATACCTCATAGTTCAAACAGTAAGCTGAAACTGCATCAGTCGTCACCCATAACTTTATTCCAAACTTTACTGGCTTGTCCTTCATATACTGTTTCATGCCCAGGCGGCCTTTGAATGGAGCCATTGCTTCGTCTCCAGTTATTTCCCTATGTGGCAGATACTCCCTCTGAAATGCCTGTCTACAATGATCCAGCATCGTATCTTATGGACTTTATCATTAGCATTTGCACCTGTATCATCGCTGAAATGAAGGTATCTCTTGATTTGGATAAATCAGTCATGAGACATTACTTCTCCAAATTTTGAACCAACCAGCCAAATGTTAGTATTTTCTGTTCATCACGTTCAAATTGCATTATTTCCATCAATATCAACATGCCGTAATATGCTTTCACTTTGGGTAGTGTTACCGGTGTCCAAATACCTTTGTCACCTCCATGTCTCCGTTTCGTTTCCGCATTCAGATTTGTAAAATTCACAATTTCTTCAAACAGATCATCACTGTAAAACAACTAGAAATAATCAAGTGCTTTAGCAGATGTATCTAATACACGAGTCGGCCCAACTCTCTCACGAAAAACAATGTTATTTCTAGGTGTTTGTACCTTCACCCAATCGTTCTCCTTGTATGTTGGTCCTTCGTATATTTCCTCTGGCTCAAAACCATCCCAATCAGCTTCAGAATCACTGCTATCCCCCATGATATCGTTCCATTCTTTCAGTAACTGTTGTCTTTGTCTTCCATTTACATTCACTAAGTCAAAATTTTGGATCCAAATTTATTCTATTTTCACTTTCGGGGAAGCCATTATAAACATCGGGAAATCATCGGATATTTCCATTGAAACATACCTAAAACCTAGAGATGTATAAAGTAAAGGTACTGTAGTCCCAGGATGTACACGTCATTTGGCTACATTTATCAGCCAATCAGAGTGGAAATCGTATAAATAGAGGTATTACCTGAGACCGCTAAAGCGGTCTGCAGTGTTGTAGGGGTTGCGGCCCCTGGACCGCTTTAGCAGTCTGCAGTGGTGAAAGAGTTAAGTGTTTGACATATCTGCCTAATGTGACCTTGAAAGTAGGTCACGGTCATTTTTTTCGCAAACTTTGTTGGGCTCTTACCCAGAAAGCTACAAGCCAACTATTAAGGTTCTATAACTTTCAGTTCTTCAGGAATAGTCGTTTTAAGCATTTGACATATCTGCTTAATGTGACCTTAAAAGTAGGTCAAGGTCATTTTCATTCTCAAACTTTGTTGGGCTCCTACCCAGAAAGCTACAAGCCAACTATTAAGGTTCTATAACTTTCAGTTCTTCAGGAATAGTCGTTTTAAGCATTTGACATATCTGCTTAATGTGACCTTAAAAGTAGGTCAAACTAATTTTCATTCTCAAACTTTGTTGGGCTCTATCCCAGGAAGCCACTAGCCAAATATAAAGATTATATACCTTCCAGTTCTTCAGAAGAAGTCGTTTAAAGTGTTTGACACATTGAC